TCCTGTCACCAGAGGGAAGGTGGCAAGCTGTGGACAAGCCCTGTCTCTATGGAAAAGCTAAGAGGGAAATAGGGCAGGGAAAAAAAAAAAAAAAAAACAACCCCAAAAAAACTCACACAACTTAAGAGGGGGAAAAAAAAAGGAATAAATATTTGGGAGGAAGGCGTTTAAGAGGAGAGAAAAACAAACCAAAGCTGGTGCCAGGCTGGAACCAGCCGCTGGTTGCCAGCACAGCAGGGTGAGAAGTTGCTGGTGGACGCGCCCAGAGCCATGTTTGGGCTGCTTAAAAAAATTCAGCGTGTCTCTGCCTTGTGGTCCTGCCTCTGCTTTCCTGCCTGGATAGGAGGAGGAGCAGGGACTCCCTGCCCAGCTCAGGCTTGTGGTCTGAGGGATGCAGAGCATCTCCTGCCCTGCCACACCTGTGTGTGTGAGCGAGCACACCGAGCTGGACCAGGCACCGCTCTGAGCAGCATGGGCAAGCGTGGCACGATGATCCATCCCTCCTGGATGGATGGGATAAATCATCATGCGAGGGAAGGAGCTGGGAGGAATGGGGATGGAGAAGAAGGGCAGCATGGAAGGTTGCGACGCTTAGGGGTGTTAAAAAGGGAGAGCGATGAAAAGGGGGCAGGAGGCTGCCGAGGAGATTTGTGTTGGCTGGGAAGGCGTGGGGTGCCTCGGGCAGGGCTGGGGTGCTGCGGAGAGCCCGGCAGAGAAGCATCAGGGCTTTATTCCCCTCCTTTCTTTCCCCTCCCTCCGCTGGGCGCTCGCAGGAGGAGGAGGAGGAGGAGGCGGCGAGACAAAAAGCTGAACCGGTGCCAAGAGGAGCTGCGGCGCTCGAAAATGGCACTCTGCGCCACGCTAATACTGCGAGGCTGGGCTGCGCTGGAGAGCAGCGAAAACGTGTCGGGAATGAGAATGGCCGAGAATGGCCGGGCTCAGGAGGGTCCTCCCTCCTCCCCTGCCTCCCCTTCGCCTTTTTAATGTGACCCTTTTCTCCCCCACCACCGCCCCCAGTGATGTTTAGGAGCTCTGGGAGAGGGAGAGCATCTTTGCTGGCGACTTGGAGTGTAAAGGGTCTCATACCCTCCTTCCATGTCCCTATCAGGGAGTGATTTAATTTTTTTTTTAATTTTTTAATATTTTTCTCTCCCTTAAGGAGGAAAAGAAGACTCAGGGAGTTTTCTTACTGTTTTCCTGTTGCCCCTGCTAGTTGCTGTCCTCCTCCTCCATCTCCTCACTGTATCTCGATGCAAGGTGACTTGTAGGACACAGGAGTCTCTGCTGCAAGGTGCAGCGTCGCCTGCGTCGGTGTTTCCCTCTGTTTCTCATTTGCTGGGAGATGAGGCAACTTCCAGGCGGCTCAGCTCAGATCCTGGTTGATGCAGCGGCGCTGTTTGGGCTGCAGGAAAAGCCCCTTTCCTGCAAAAACCTGCCTGGATAAAACAAGCAAGCAAACAAACAAACAAACATGTACTGAAACTGCATCGTTTTGTGATGTTGGTTGATTTGCAAGAAACGGGATGGAGTTTTGTGGTGATTTCTGTCTGAAAGGGAAGGTTTTTTGCTCATCCCCTTTCTTTTCCACTCACAGGTAACAAAAAAACCAAACCACCTCTTTTTAATAGGGTTTTGATTTTTTTTCTTTTTTAAAATTTTTTTCTCTATTTTAATTTTTAATTTTTAATTTTATTTTTTCATTTTTAATTTTAATTTTTAAAAATTTTTTATAATTTAAAAAATCATAACTTTGTAGTAGTTCAGTAGTTGAAGTTAAATCCAAAAATATTACCCCCCTTGCCTCCCTTCCTGCTGCACAGATGTTGCTTTTTGGATCATTCTGGAATTTATATTTAAAGTTTTAGGTCGTCATTACAGAAACTAGGGACTGGAGAAAGGGAAAACCCCAGAGTCTCGTTTTGAAAACAGGTCTAGGTCCTGTTAGAACAGCAGTTTTAGCCCTCACATAGTCAGCAGGTCAAGTTCAAGGAGACCTTTCCAAAGCACGGGCAGAGCCTCATTAGCTTGCTGCATCTCAGAAGCTTGTGGATTATTGGGTTGTTAGCTTGGCCCATTTTGTAGTCTCAGGCATGGGATGATCCCTGTGACCTCTTTCTCACCTGAAAACCATGCCCTAGTACACATTCAAACCACTTCAAACCTCACCTTTGGTCTCAGACATGCAGGCCTGGTTTGGGAGCACCTACCCCTGCCCAGGAAAGGCTTTTGGAGATGCTGTGATAAATAGGGGGGAGTTCAGGCAGACTTAAAGTTGTTGTCTAACATGCTCCCCTCAGCCTCTTCTCACAGCTCCTTACAGATCAATAGTCCTTCCTCTGTGGAGCATCAAATTCTCTGTCCCAAATTAATGCTGCTGGGAGTTGCACTCATTTCTAACTTGATGCCAGCAGATTTTGTATGGAGTAGGAGGAACAGAGCAGCTGATCCCTTGCTCTTCCTCACCTCTCAGCTGTGCTCTGTACCCTGTATTTGCTGCAGTTCAACTTGGGCTTGTGCAGAGAAGGTGCTGCCATTCCCTCTTGCTCCTTACCTTTGCTGTGACTGCAGGGTGTGCAGTGCTTGGCCCAAGAAACATTGGTTTCTTCACCATGGAAATATCCACAAGAGGGGTGGCCGAAGAACTTGGAGTGTGTTCTTGTACCTTGCACACAATCCTATCAATTTTCTCTGAATAAAAGACATGCAGAAAACACGTGGGTTTTCTGTAAACAAGCGTGCATGCTGTCTGGTTTTCAGTCCCTTTGGATGCCATGAGTTAAACTGGTTGAAATACCATCCCCACCCAGGGCACACACCATGCAGCCCTTGCATGAATTTCATAGAATCGCAGAATCCTTGCATGGTTTGGGTTGGAATGAACCTTAAAGCTGATGCAGTTCCACCCTCTGCCATGGACAGGGACACCTCCAACTACACCAGTCTGCTCCAAGCCCTGTCCAGCCTTCCAGGGATCCAGGAGCAGCCATAGCTTCTCTGGAAAAAACTTTACCAGGACCTCCCCAACCTCCCAGCCAAGAATTCCTTCCCAAAATCCCATCTGTCCCTGCCCTCTGGCAGTGTGAAGCCATTCCCCCATGTCCTGTCTCTTCATGTCCTCGTGCCAAGTTCCTCTCCAGCTCTCCTGGAGCCATTTCAGGTGTGGGCAGATGCTCAGCATCTCCCTGGAATCCTCTCTCCTCCAGACTGAACTGTTACAATGCTTCAGTCCTTCCTTGTAGGTGAGATGTTCCAGAATTTTCCAGATGTTCTTGCTGACACTTTTGGCTGTTCCTCTGGGCAGAAATTCTTCTTTTTAACCTGAGGTCTCTGAGGATGGGAATCTCAGGGATCTTTGCAGGAGAGAGTGGTGGTTAAAGCCTATCAACACGAGCTGAGGAGACCCTGGTTCTCATCCTGACCCACCATGCACTGCACAGACCACTGCTCATGCTTTTAGATCTGGAGCCAGCTTGTGTTTACTGCTGATTTAAGCTTCTTCAGTGTTCAAATACTTCAGTTATGAAATAACAATTCCCAACAGATTTATGGAGAGGATCCCAAAGACATGGGCAAGTATTAATGTGGAGTGACAGCATCCATGTGTGCACAGCAGCAAAATGGTGTTTGTTATTCAAGGACAACTGGGAGCAGCAAATTAGGAGATCTTCACAAACCTTGTTATTTCAGTAGGCAGATCTCTTTCATTTCTTGAAATCTTGACCATAGGGGAGCTTGTGGAATGCATCTTGTCCATCTTGGAGCAAAAACTGTTCTTTCCACATGGTCAAGTCAGCCATCTGGGCAGCTTGGTCATGCTTCCCAAGGAGAGAAGGCTTTGACAGGGCAGCTGAAGCTTTTTGTCTTCATTTCTCCCTGTCTTAAAGAAGTGTCTTTGGATATTTTATCCAGAATCATGATGTCTAATGTGTCTCAAGTTGCTTCCTTCAAATCCTTCATCCTTTTAGCATTTTATAATGAGAAACATTGTCTACTTGTAGTTGTTATAGGCTGACTTGTTTCTGGAAGGGTCAGTCTAAAGGGCTCTTCCACTCCTTCTCCCCACACCTTCCCCACTCCATGTCTCTTTTTTTTTTTTTTTTTGGACCTGTAACCTCACATTTCTGTAATCTAAATGTGCAAATGCTCTGCAGTCACGGTCCAGTGGCTGGGTTAATCTCAGACCCCTGGAGTGGCAGATGGCTGATTTGTTGCTGATTCCAGTTATAGGGAATTGTGTCACCTATTATCTTTGCACAGACTGATGCTTAAAAGGATGCCTTTGGCAAAATCAGTGAAAAGCAAAGAAAGGCAAAGCAAAGTCTGATCTGCATCACCACAGGTGAAAATGTGAATATTTCACCTTTGTGTGAAGGGCTGGAGAGGTGGACAAAGAGGAGAGGAGGAGGGAGGGGAGGAAGGGCAAGAAGATCTCATTTTCTTACCAGAAGTACCAAAGCACAGAGCAGAGCAGGTTTGCTGTGGTCACGCTGTAGAATCACGAGCACTTACTCTGTTTTAAATGGTTTTGCAATGTGGTAATCCTTGGCTTCAGCTCCCTGCTTTAACTCTTGTACAAACCAGGCAGGTCGGCTTCTTGTGACATCTCCCTGCCCTCTTCCCAAGGTTGCCAGAGGAATGCACAGCATCCCTCCCTGACTCCAGGGCTCATTGTGTGCCCCACGGCTGCTGGGGGAGGCTGTGGTGGCTCTGTCATGCCAACATGCTCACAAGGGACACTTGGGAGGGGAAGTTTACACATCTGTGTGGGGTGAGGGGAAGCTTGGGGGACCTTGCACAACACTGCTGGACCAAGGGGGGACCCCAGCACTGGGTGCTCACAGGGCCCCACATGGCAAGTGGTGGTGGTGGTGGTCGTACTGAAACGTGTGGGGAAATCAAAAGGGCAGAGCAAAACTCTGGATATATGTGACCATTTTCTCCACAGTCATCCCCACAATCAAGGTTTTCTTTCTTTCTCTTTGCTTTGGGAAACACCACAGAGTCAGATGAAGAATTTGGGAAGAGAGTGTGCGTTCCCTGTGCAGAGTCCAGTGACGAAATCTGTGAACAAGGTAAGAGCAAGGGGATATGGCTGTGATGGTTTTTGTTTTATCCTTTTCTCTTTCCAAACACAATTTTTCAATGTGGACATGAAATTTAGCTATGTGTATCACAGAAACTGATAGTCCAAGCACCAAGCAAATTAGTCTAAAACGTTAATTTGGGTTTCTTTTAATGCATGCTATTATGATGGTTTGGGTTTTAGAACAGTTTGTATCATATCCAAATGATCTATGTGTGAATAATTGTTCCCAACCTCCTGACACCAGGACCTAATTAGGAAGTAAGAGCCTTAAATAGGCCATTTGTGTACTGAGATTCCATATGTCTCCTTGCACAATTTATTTGCTCCACTCCATTGAGGTATAATGAGAATGAAACTCTTAGAACTGCTTTTGACTCTGAGGCTCTTCTCTTCATCTCCTGTGCAGCCACAGCCCCTATTAAGATAATATCTGTTTCCCTGTTTTCCGAAAGAAAAAGCTGTAGTACTTTCAGTCCAGATTGCCCAAGCTTCTCTGTTTCGAAGGTTTCAATGGAAATGGAGTGAAAAAATGCCAAAAAAAAAAAGAAAAAAAGAAAGCAGACTAAGAAAAATGGAATGCCATCAAAGAAAGCAGAAAGGTCAGGACAGGGTGATCTTGAGGGAATACTCCCTATCCTATCTGCCTCACAACCCTGCTGAAAGCTGATGCTGTTGTATTTCAGTTAACGTGTAGATGCAAAGGAAGGATGTATATGGATAGAAGGAATCTGAAGAGATTTTTATTGGTTTTGTTTGGCTTTGTTCTTGCTAGGATGTGAGGAAGGGGGAAAGGTTTGTGCAAGGTGGCTTGGATTTTTTTCTTAGTTTTGAATATTTAGCTCAGTCTGAACAGTCTCCTTGGGACTACTTGTTCATGTTTAAATTATGTTCTTCAAGTGTACTTTCAGAAAATATTCTTTATTTCCAAACACCTCTTGCATGCATGACTTCATCTTACACTTCATGTATCCTACTTGATTCTTTTGCTCCCATCATTCTGAAGTCAGAAAAACTTAAAAGTATGATTAAATTTCATTTTCTATCAGGATAAACTTTAATAAATTCTTAAGGCTTGGGTTTTTTTTCACCCCCAAATCTGGATCTTGTTTAGTTTCCCAGAGAAAGACAACTCTACTTGCAACGATTTTGTTTATGATAATTCCTTTGCATGTTGAATTGTCACTGCCTTCCAGAAGGGAGGTTAGTGCCAGTCCCCTCGCAGTGATAATTATAATCAGACCTGTCAGCCTTCACACAGTCTACACTTATCACTTGCATTTAGAAGGATTTTTCCTGAAGCCTATTACCAGTTCTGCTTCTTAGGGAAAAACAGTCATGATTTTTCCTCCTAATCTTTGATGGCTCTCAGCTTTGAAAGCATAGAGAGGAGCAAAACGACTGCCAGGTGCACTTAAAGAAGCTGTCTGTTGGTCCTGGTCTAGAGCTCTGAAAAGCCAGAGAGTGGGCGGATAATCTGGGAAATGCTGAGGCCTTTAATTTGTTTGTGACAACACTCCAGGTGTGCTGGAAACACAAAGCAGTTTCCCAATGGTGCTGCTCTCAGGGGGTGCCTCTGCAGACCTGCTGGGCACGGGCTTCAGGTGGCAGGTGGCTCTTGGCAGTGGTGCCCTGTGTCCCTGCAGTTCTGGGCAGTGATTCCTGCCTGTGCTGAGAGAACTGGAAGAGCAGGATGGCCAGAGAACTGGAAGCAGGATGGCCAGAAAACTGGAAGCAGGATGGCCACAGAAGTGGCTGCAGTTGCTGCTGGAGGCAATGACTGGCATCACATGGACCAGTTGCCTCCAGTGCAATGGTGACTAGCTGGGCCGAGTCATGGTGTTTAGTAGGATGTGGTTCAGTATTGTATCCATCCCAGCCCCCCTGGTGTTATTCCCTGGGAAACACATGGACCCATTCATTAGATTTCCCCCTATTTTCACTCCATTATTGCTGTTGATGTGCTGCTAACCCCCCTTTCTTACCTTTCTGGTTTTTACTAGCATGAAGACAAAAAGGTGCAAGTTTTACCATTCCATAAAACTAAATGACTTATGTGTCTTTAAGTCCTTCCTCTGTTATTACCATGCTTTTTGTAATTTACTCAGAGATTTAGGCTCCCTTGATTTTGGCAGAATCTGAGGATGGTCAACATTTTATAGCTTTTTTAGCAAAGAGATGGTGGAAGATTGGGAATTCTTATGTGCAGTTTTATATTTACAGTGCACAGGGATATATGATTTGCCTTTGTTTTATTTAAATTCACTGGGAACTAGAGGTTTATTTATCAGGTGTCATTCCCTGAAGGATGAATAATGCCATAAAGAGAAGACTTCATCTATTATACAAACAGATTTGAAGGCTTTGCTATTACATTCCTGTGCCTGTTGAATGGAGTAAAAATGCCTTTGGCTGAGCAGAGACAGAGTGATACTTAGCAGTAGCATCTTATGACCTTTTGATCAGCTGAGATCTCAAGCCATATTAGTGGACAGATTATGATGTGATGGAAAGAAGGCCAGGAATAGCCTTTTCATCATGAGATCTTTTCTTGGGTGTATTCAGGTGGTTAATCACTGGGGCCAGGGCAATCATTTGGAAGCAGGGGAGTGAAATGCTGGTACAGACAATCCAAATATGCTCAGGTTTGCCAAATGCAGCTGGATATTAGAGCTAATAGTTTCTTCCTAATATTCTCCTACCCTCCTGTTTCTATCAAGGCTGTGGGTGACCTTGTGATTTTTTTTTCCATCTGTAATAACCACATTTTGGCAGAAAGAACAACACAAAATGAACCTTGAGTCCTTGAACCACAGGGGAGCTGCAGTTCCTGAATCAAAGGAATGCACATGGTGAATATGGATATCAGACTGCGAAGGGAAACTCACACGAAAATGTCTTTGTCATTTTAGAGATAATAACAGTGGTGCTTGAATCTATTTCAACCCTCCCAAGGAAAAAAGAAATAATGCAGGTTTCAAAAAATGCACAGCCCTGATAGTATTTCTCATTTTACAGGGCCAACCAGAGCAAAGAATGACTTACTTTCTCTTACCTGCCTGTGCAGAATCACTCCTCAAACTTGGCTCCAGCTTTGAATTAGCCCCTTTTCATCTTAATAGCCAAGAGGAATCTGCAGGCTCCTTAAAATCAAACAGAAAAAATCCCTTTTCCCCTGCTGACTCTGCACATCAATAGCAGTAGTGCCAAAGCTTGACCCAGGTGCTGTGGTCACTTTTGGAGGGAAAAGGGGCAGACAGGTGGGTGTGGAATGCCTTTGGGCCTTTCTGAGCATGATTATATGCCCAGGCAGACGATGCTGGTTATGGGCTATGCAGCATCATCCTGTACGTTGCTAACACAGGGGTGCCCGAGTTACACACATTTTTTTCCTTCAGAAGCCAAGCAAGGTGCTCATTTCAGTGTCAGGAGGAGGAAGGGCTGGCAGTGTGAGAATCCCAAACCGTCAGTGTAGCAGGGATGATGATGCACCAGGCGTGGGGAACAATAGCTGCCACAGAGGAGTGGAAACTCTTTGAAAATAAGGAGGTTATGGAGGTGGGAGAAACTCACAGCAGGACACTGTCTCCTCTCATCTCATTTCCCCCAGTCTCTTCAATCAGGTGCCTGCTGGGCTTCCCACTCCTCCTGCCTTTTGCAAGGGATGACAGGACCACAATGCATTAGAATCTGCTGTCATGAAGGAATCTGCCATCCTCCTGGCATTACTGCTTCCCCAGCCAGGAAGCCACTGTGAAACATCCAGGCTGTGAGCCCTCATGGACCTTTTTAGCTGCCTCTTCCAGGGCCACAAAGGTGTCCAAAGGGGAGCTGGGAGGTAGCACCAACTCCTGGCACAGGTCTGCACCTTCTTTTCCTTGGGAAAAACAGGCAAAAAGCTGCAAAAGGTGGGTGGCAGCCTCGGTTCTGCCCACAGAGGAAGTGCCACTGCTGAGATACAGCCAGCCCACAAAGTAAGGAGCTCCCTCCCAAGTTCTGTCTGCAGAGATTAAGTATTTTGCTGCACAGGTGATTGTTAGAAGCATCATGAGCTAAACCATTCAAAGGGATGTGCTCCTCTGAACAGTTGTTATAAGGGTTTCTGATGGCAGCTTTGAAACTTTGTCACTGGGAAGGCTTTGGGGTGTGTGTGGTGGAGAGAATGCAGGCATGAACAATTTCCTCTGCCTCCCAGCTCTGCCTTGATTCTCTGTGGGGTGTAGGAGGGTGACAAGATTTGGGTGACATAGCACCAAGATCTTCCCTCTTGGTTTGGGATTGCATTAATCCTGCTCTGCCTTCTGCCAGATGGACTTGGCTTGATAAAATCAATTCTCCTCAAAGTAAAAGAGCTTGCATCCGTCTTCTTGTGGCTCAGAGAAATCCATGAAAACAGAATTGCTCTTCTTCTTACAGGTCAGGACAGAAAGGTGCTGTGGGACATCTAACAGTATCCCAGTTTTCATGGTTTAACCCCAACAGGCCCCTCATAGTCCCTCATTCACTCAGATTCACCAGCAGGATCAGGGAGAGAGCTGGAAGGGTAAAAGCTGGAAAACTCATGGGTTAAGATAAAGACAGTTTAATAGCAAAACAAAAAGCCATGCATACCAGCAGAGAAAAAAAGGGAATTATTTCACTGTTTTCCATGTTCAGGTAGGTGGCTGAACACGGCTCTTTCTCTCCAGAGAGCCAGAACCACTACATGTAACAGTGGCTTGGGAAAACAATCACCATCATTGCCTTTCCCCCTTCCTCCTCCTTTCCCTCCCAATTTACACACCAAACATGATGTCACTCAGTCTGGAGCATCCCTTTGGTCACTTGGGGTCACCTGTCCTGGCTGTGTCTCCTCCCAAACTCTCGATCACCCCCATCCCCTCCCCAGCCTGGCAGTGCAAAAAGCAGCAAAGGCCTTGGCTCTGTGCAGGCCCTGCTCAGCAATGACAGAAACAGCTCTGTGTCATCCACCCTGTGCTCAGCACAAAC